TCCCAAACCCCCAGCTGCCCCCGAATAGTGTCCTAGCAAATAGAACCCTGGTTCCCCAGACCCCCAGACCCCTCTTGTCCACACAACATGAAAACCCCAGCACCTATAAGGTCCAAGCCCTCTGAAATCCCTTCGGGCTTGAAAAACCTGCCACGGGACTAGAGCACCTGGCCTCAGGTTTCCATGAACAGCCTCCACCCCCATGCCCCTGGCCTCTCTCTCTGGAATCCTACTGGAATCTGGAGGGGGGAGATGGCATCTCGGAGTCTCAAGATGAAGTCCCTCTTGCCCACCCCTGCACAGCAGGCATGCCCGGCACATGACTCGAAGCCTCGGAAAGGGGGAAAACCTGGACTGGGGGGCTCCATGATCGCCTGTGTACACGTGGGAGTGGGTGGAGGTAGGCACAGGGCCTATGAGCACTGGGCTGGCAGGGTGGCCATGGGCCAAGGAAGTCCTCCTCAGGGTTGCCTGAGACCCAGAAGAAGACAACAGGACAGAGCAGGAAAGGTTACAGTTGGGAGCCTAGGCGTCCCTCACATGTCTTAAAAGCTTCTTCATTTTCTTCCAAACACCCAGGCTTTGAGTCCCTACCCCAACTTCTTGGTCCCCTGCCCAGATGTGCCCAGCCCCCTGGCAGGACAACTAAGTGTCTGACAGATTAGTCCTCTCCCTGCCCTGCCCCTGGTAGCTGTGGGGCTTTGGGCAGGTCCCTTCATCTTTCTGAGTCTCAGTCTCCCCATCTGTGGGATGGGCATGACCATGGGGTCTGAGGACGTAATGTGGACAAGGGGCCTGACCTGAGCTCAGTGTGGGGAGGCCACCATTAGCCTGGTGACATCCCCCACCATAGTCAAGCTGGGCTTCAGGGAATGAGGGAGGGAGGTGGCCCAGTGCTCGTCCTCACGGAGCTGATATCCCTGCGGGTGGGTACAGCCTGAGCTAGTGGCACAACCCAGAGGCCTCTGGAAGGTGTGGGTATGAGACCCTGAAGGAAGGATCTAAACCCCTGAGAAAAGCATGCAGTAATGAGGGGACAGCATAAGCAAAGCAGAGGGATAGGAAGGCGCTCAGTCCATGGGAGGAATGTGAAAAGATTGGTGGATGGGGGCCCATCAGGCTGTAGCATCAGGGGTTGTTAATGTTATCAACAGTTGCCATGACTCCCACCCATGGAACCCTCCCTGCTCATCTGAGGTGACACCCTCTCCCACTATTCTCACCACCAGCCTCTTAAGCAGATTCTATTATCTTATTTGGGGAAACAGAGGCAAGGTCATCCCAATGGGGAGGGTCAGCTCTGGAGACCAAAGCTTGAGCCTGCAGGGCCCACACCTGACACCCACCATATCCCCAAACTGCCTCCTCCCAGGAGCTGGCAGGGACAACCTGCACACAGGCATAGGGGAGAAGGAGGCACTGAGGGCAGAAGTGCTCACTCCACTTGTGAGTCAGTCTCTCCTTGGAGACACCAGTGTGACAAAGAATCTGGAGGGAGACTCACCCGCACACTATGAGGGAGCTTGTCTTAAAACAGGCTACTCCCTTCTCAGGGGCTAGCTTGACATAGTTGGCCCAGTAAAGGTGGGTCCTGCAGGGGGAAAGCAGACAAGGGTCCCCCAGCCCCCATCCTCAACGCTAGGAGGGATGTGAGCCAGTGGTAGCAGCAGCCGGCAGGCAGTAAAGCCTCAGCCCCCTCCTCCTTCCTGCAAAAGCTGTTGGCAGGTTGTTGGGGAAATGGGGGACCCAGATGCGTGATGTTGCCTCCCTCTAATACGGAGAGCTACAGGGAGGTGAAGACGTGGGCTTGGAGGCCCAGACAGACACACGTCACCCACCATTAACCATAGCTATAGTGACGCATGCCCTGTCATGGACACTCAGGAAAAGGCGCACGTACTCTGGCTGTCATTAATCTGCTGGGGGGCCCAGAGCCCTCGGGCTCCTTTCTGCTCCCCACCCACCCACCCACCCACGCCCAGAGGAAGGGAGGTACTGGCCAGCACCATCACTGGGGAAGAGTGGAGCTAAGAGGGTGCAGCCATCCAGGTAGCTCAGCAGGACCCAACAGAACAGGGGACAGAGAAACCCAGGAAAGCTGGAGAACAGGGGACAGAGGTCCAATAGAGATGACAGAAGAGGTGGGCAGGGCAGGGTGGACACAGAGAGATGAGACGGATGGGCAAGGAAGTGGGGGGAGGGGGATGGGAGAAGAGATGAGAGACCAAAGAAGGGGGCAGGGAGGGGGAAGGCGACTGACAGAATTGGAAAAGGCGACTGACAGAAAAGGAAAAGGCACAAGGAGACGCAAAGCAGTGAGGGCTGCCCCTCAGCCAGCAGCAAACAGGAAACAGGAGGACGCAGGTAAAACGGAGAGTGTGTGCTCTGACTCCATCTCCCCCTACCTCACCCCAGACACATGAGTGCACATATGCACACACATGCACCTGTGCACACGTGGCCTTCCCTTGTCTGAAAACCTGATCCAGGTCCAGGTGGGGTGACAGGGCACCCCCCACAAACCAAAGGTCTGTCCTCCCTCCAGCAGTAACTCCTCTGCCCTCCTCCAACCACCTGGAGGAGGTGGCAAAGGGTCTGCTTTGCCTGGTGGGCAGACAGCCATGTTGCCAAAGCGATTACAGAAATAACGGCCACCAGACCCTAAACCCACACTTGCTTAAAACCCAGCAGCTTGCAAAGCTGGGCCCTGTCGCACTGCCAGACACTAACGAGGAAATGACTTTCCCATCAAGGACCCTCTCCACTGAGGGGTCGTCACCCTAGTGCCGTGAAGCTGAGGGTCCCACTGCCCACCTCAGAAAGCCACCTGTACCTGAATCAAAGTCCCTTCCTAGCCTGGCCATGCTAACCCAGGAGAGTTCAGGGAGGCCACTGGCCCCGAGCAGCCCCAGGGCAGCAGCCTCAGCCTTTCATGTCAGCTCAACAATAGTCCCAACTCCAAATAAGCATGGTCATGCAGGGGAACGTGGGGGAGGGACCCCCACTCAATTCCTCCCCCTTCCTGCCTCCAAGGATCAATCGGCGTTTGCATCCGCGGGACCAGGGCAGCTGAAGGGCGCTGGCTGTCACCGCCAGCCCTGCGTGTCGTCGCACCATTAGTCACCTCCCCCTGGACCCTCGGAGCTGTACAGCCCCCACCCCACCCCCACTCTCATTCTCTAATTACGGTTTTCAAGATGTGTCCCAAACCCTGAAATTAGTTCCAACTATATCGACAAGAGAAGAGCG